ATGCTTACTATCTATTAAATAGATCTTCAATGTGTATTATGTTCTCGCTATCAAAGCATAAATCGGAGTAAATTTGTTCCCACCAATAATTTATTTATGAATCAGACATAAATTTACACTTAGATTTGTTATAAATTATGGCATGTTGCGACTTTTAAACCTGAAATTTAAAGAATGCACTAAAATCCGCCTCGTTAAATATGTACTAGAATTATACATTGATGAATACAAAAGCGATCAGTGATCACATGTGTCGCCTCATGATGGCCAATTTCATGTTGCAGCTTCAGTGTAGTGGAAGACACAAAAATGATTAACAGGGCAAAACAAACGAAGATGTGATCCCTATATGTAGAGACTACTTTGCAGCATGTGATAAAGCAAGGGCAATAACTCAACCAATATTGACGATATGCAAAACTAGATTTTGTTCTAATTATCCCTGTACAGTTTGGGTTGAAAAATGTGTGACAGATGAACAGACAAAGAAACACACACACAACAAAAAAGTGATCCCATATGTTGCAACTACTTTCATGTTGCGGCAGAACACATATATGACGACGAAGTGATCCCTATATGTCGAGACTATTCTGCAGCATGTGATAAAAAATCAGGCTTAAATGCTTGTATTTGTGTATTATGCACAAGTACTTGACCTACCAATCAATCCTGTAAAGTTTCACTGAAATTGCAATAGTGGTGCGGACAAACTTTTAGAGATAAAAATGATTAAAGGGCTATAACTCCGACAAAATTCATTTAACCATAACAAGCAGATTATATGCACAACTAGACATGGTACTGATAATTCCTGTAAAGTTCGGATGAAATTACCCCAGTAGTTTATGAGGAGAAGTGGGGACAATTTTTGTGACAGACGGACAGACAGACGGATAGTGCACAACTAGACTTGGCACTGATTATTCCTGTAAAGTTTGGATGAAATTGCATTAGTAGTTTATGATGAGTAGTCCGGACAAGATTTTGTGTATCTGGCAACACACAGAAAAAACATCTTTTTTTAGCAAAGGGCCATAACTCGGCCAAAAATCATTCACCCGGAAAACCTGTGCAATAGGACTTTAGCTACATATCAATCCTGTAAAGTTTCATTGAAATTGCATTAGTGGTATAAGAGAAGTAGTCCGGACAAACTTTAAAAATAAAAAAATATTAAAGGGCCATACCTCTGACAAAAATCATTGAACCGAAAAATTCTGACAATATGCACAACTAGACTTGGTACTGATCATTCCTTTAAAGTTTGGATGAAATTGCACCAGTAGTTTATGAGGAGTAGTCCGGACAAGTTTTGTGACGGACGTACCAATTTTTCAGGTTTATGAGCTATTTCTATTGTTCTTTTCTTTTGTTTCCTTGTGGGCTAACTATTGTTTCCTTATGAGCTTACTATTATTTACGGATTGAAGTCCTTTGTTCTCTTTTGTCTAAGTGTACCGTTAGTTAGCTCATATACCTAAAATGTTTGTGCGGACAGACAGACGGACAGACAGACGGAGAAGTGATCCCTATATGTCGCCACTACTTTGTAGAGGCGACACAAAAAGGGGAAATTTAAATAGAAAGGTGGGTAAGTAAAATGTTTCGATACAAACTGAAACATATCTTAAGACGATTTGTGTGACGCACTATTTCACAAAGTTTATACAGGTTGACATTTTTGAGAATCCTACAATTCACGATTAAATTATAGTTTATTAACTTTTATCTCTAATTTTAAACTTGACCTTTGAGACAGTTTCTGGTTTTTGTGAACTACATTCTGTGTAAATGAAGTTTACACTGGTGCTTCGTACTTAAGAATCTTTTAATGCATGGGAAAGATATATATTACGCCAAATGAACATTAGTACATTGTATAAGCAGATCATACATAGATATTACTGCTTTTACTGTTACATACGAAAGTATTCCGGTGCTAGGTAGCGTTAGAAATGTTGCACTTTTCATTATTTCTCATAAAAAGACTCAATCAAATAAAGTCTGCAATTATCATATTATATGATTATCAATACTTCCGAGAAATCAATCCTATTCCGATTTCTTCCACTACGAATGCATTTCTATCATTCTAGAATAAAACAGTTTGTATAGTTCACACTAAATACATTTTTGGCTGTCAATCAATTACCATCATGTAATTTGTTAAACAAGCACAATTCTGGTGATAAATGATCCATGCCTCATTTTTTTGTTGTTCGTGAGCATGTTAAATGAATTAACTAAAACTAACAGTTTATGCAAACAATACATATGTACAAAGCATGCCAAAATATTTTCTTATGTTATATTTTCTACGCATCCGACAAGGTTAATGTTTTTTAAACTCGAACAGTTTTTTTTTTATATATCCACCTTTTCAATATTAAAGTTTTTTTACATTTTACTGAGGCTCTCGTAAGGAAAATTGTGATAAAACTCCTAATTGGTTACCGTAATGCAATTCCTTTATTTAAGTTACTTGACCATGCTATTAGGCTTTGTAATAACGATCACATGCTTCTAGTTGCTATGCATACATGTAAATCTATAGGTAATAAAACGTATTATGGAAATCAATTGTATTCTGGAAGCAGTAGGTAAGGGTTATTTATTGTTAAATAAAACACATTTTATTCATTTAAACTATATAATTTTTCTTTTTCATACTATGACAGGTTTTTCTTTTAAATCATTTTCAAATTCATTTATTACCATATGCCTTTAAAGGTTTTACTAGTTACACAACATCCTGGACACTTTTGAATACTGGCGATTAGCTATTTCCCAACATTTTGTTTTAAATATCATATTTGTAAGAGTATCTAAAAAGCCAAGCCAAAGTAATGATCAAAGTGAAGATACATTTTTCCTTTAAGATTATTTATCATTTTATATAATTTTCACTTGAGCGCAAGACAACCTATGGAATCTACATTCTTGTTCCACTCCTCAAAGTAACAATTCACGTTGCGATGATCAGGATAAGAAACTGCTTTGAATAATTTATATTCTAGACAAAATTTAAAAAATGTATTTTTATGAAAGTTTAAGCTCATGTGTTTTTGTCAAGACATTCCTTACTTATATACAACTGAAGGTAAAAGTAGTTTTATTTTGTAATTTACGTTAATGGTATGGGGCTAGTAGAGGGGTGTACGTTAATGTAATATTATTATTTATAGGCATATGCAAGGTAGACTGGGTTTTCTGTAGACTGTGGACGGTCACTTGCATTTATCAAGTGTTATCCGCTTTTTCTTTTTACGAAAGTCTGTCTTTAACAGACAATAAAAATGTGCAACATCTCTCACCACCCCTCTCTCGCACCGGATTAGGCGATATAAAATCCTCTACACTAAAATATTGGAATCATTTAACGCCATCCAAAACTATAGATTGAGTACGTAATTTATTGTTACATGTAATATTTGAGTGTTAAACAGTTTTTATAATTATCTTGGAATTAAATATCTGCATGATGCTTAAGTTATTAAAAATATGTAGATTTAATTTGTACTCAGTATATAAAATCTGAGAAGATAATATGAACTGTTACTCATTAAATATTAATGAGCGTGTTGAAACACAACTCCAGAATTATTGGAGGCTGACCTTTTGAATACGTCAATCACTTAATCAAATGCTTAATAACCAAAATTAAAAGTGACTTTAAACAACATTTTCTTTCGGTATGATACAATAGATCCTTTGAAAAATACTCTTCAACACTTGAAAAATTAAAGGAATGGGACTAAGGGAAATGTGAAGGTACATTGAACATCAACAAGTAAAAATAGCGTAATGACTGTATGAACATGTTTATTTATACTGAAAATAAAGTGAATTACTTAATAAGCCATGATAAATTCAACATCATTTACGTCTATAAAAGATATGTATTCAGACCTCAACTCTAAAACCATTATGAAAAGGAAATTTATATGAAATTGTATACATGAAAGTATAAATTCTCACAGCATAATGCATCGATCCAATAATTCATGCATTTCAAACATTATTGATTTTGTATTATGTAATAAAATATATCAAATCAATTTTCGACAGTGATTTTCAGCAAATGAAATGGTTTTATCAATATCTTAAAGTAAGCTTTGCTTTTAGCATATTAACTAATTAACCAACTGACACACTTGTTTAAAGACGCTAAGCTTATTAGCTGACTTTGATTGTACTTGATTCAGGACAATACAGCTAATTAGATTTTGTATTAGAGATAAATGTCAGATGCCTTCAAATTGAGAAACTGTACTTATCTAATTGGATTGTATTGATATCACTTGACTGTTCAAAGATAATGTAGATTAATACAGAAATTACTCAGAAATTACCAGTTGACAGACTTTATATAGACATTATATCGTGTAAGATTATAATAACAAGTTTTAAGGTAGTTTTGTCAAGTCATATTTATTTAAATATTGAAAACCTTTAGCTAAAAGTACTTACACAGTTATTGAACACTATGATAAAATAGACTAAATCATGATATGGTACAATACATTAGTAATGCACAAATATAAATTTCGACAAGTATTAAAAATTCATCATAATTTATAATAATTCAATTATTTGAAGTGAATAAACATTGACAAAATATTATAGTTCACAACTTAATCAATTCTCCATATTTGAATTCGAAAATATATTCACTAAGAAACTTGTTATGGAGAATATGCTGTCTACAACTGATGTCCGCCATTATTTTTATATATAATTGTTTGTCAATTATTAGTAAAATATGAAATACAATGATTAATGAATAAATAAACAATATTGAAAAACACCCTAAAGTTACTTACAAAACAGTTATATGTACATGTACAACTTATCTTATAATGAGCAGACAAAACCATACTCAATCAGGACTGATTGAAATGGTAATGAAATATTAAAGGACATTTACTATGTTAAAAATAATAAAAACATAGAACACTATTAATTAAAATATCAAATCATACTTGCAAGTTAGTGCCCTAGCTGTAAATGTACATGTAGTAGCACTATTTCAAATAATTCAAGTACAATTTGTGCTGACTAAATCAAACGCATGATTTGAGAGTGTTTAAAGGGACAGTACTTTGCCAGTGACAAAGTCAATCCTAACTCAAGAGTTGTGCGTCAAGTTGTTCATGGTTTATTTCTCTTACACAATTCCTGATCTAAATTAAATTCTGATTATTATTTAAGTCACTTTGTTTGAAAATTTATCTGTTCAATTTTTCAGAAAAATACAAGTGAAATAATTGAAATAGACGCACATTTTTTATTTCTTGATAGAAATTTTAATTTTAGGACTTTGTCGCAAAGGAAAATCTTGAATATCAGGTATGGTCGGCAAATGATGAGAAATAGTTCGAGTTTCCCCAGTAAATTGGTGATGCTAACGAAAATGTCATAATGAAAGCTTATTATATCACTTAAATGTGTTCTTACATGTAACACAACTGAAATTGATGCAGTCAAACATTTTTTAACAGTGGAAAAGTAATAACAAAAGTAAAAAAAGACAAATACAATTTTGAAATGATCAACTCGTGACAGAGAGGCTCTTATTAGTACATTTATACGAGATTGTTCCATGTTACAAAGAAACGATACTATTTTCCAGATACTAGTCGTTATTTCTGTCCGTCTCAAATATTAATTTTCTTTTATAAAAAAAAATTAGTCTATGCCAGGATTATGGTTTTTGTGCAGTGACATACAATAACAAAACATTAAAAACATTAAACAAGTAAATATCTTTGTCATTATATCTTATATCATTAAAGATCCAAATTGTAGAAACAGATATTTAGTTTTTAAAATATAAATGAACAAATGCATATTACGTCAATGATGTTTCTAGGGTATAAAACGGTTCCATTATTCTTTGTAAATCACCAAAATAAGACCCTTTTTTATTATCTCAAAAACTTTGATCCCGAGAGTTGTGTATTTTGTATGTTGTGGCCGTCACTCTTCGTGTCGAAGAAATAGCTTCTCTTTCTGTGACAGCTTTTTCACAAAAGCACCACAGGCGCGAGGACAACAATCAGCCTGACAAAGATTGTTATATCTCTAGTCGTACCACCACCACCAGATGTTTCTGTAACATATATAACATCACACACAAAAACAGAAAATAAACGAACGAATCTAACACTTTGTAACTTGCTTTAATGACGTAATTAACTCTGAATTAAAATGATAATAATGTCTTGCCCTTCCAATATAAGCACTTAAGAATATTAACTAAGTCTTTCCCTTGCTTAAATTTCACAAACATACAATTTGAAAAGCAACAGTGCTGGTGTGGCAATCGCTCACAATGCCATCCACCAACTTATCAATTTGGTATTTTAAAGTATTTTATTAATTTGGCGAAAGGACTTCTTATCATTATCAATTTTATGCTTTATTGGTTTAAATTAAGTTAATATTAAAACAGTTTGTTTGTTAGTTATTATATCATTAAATTTTTACAATGTCTCAAATTTTTCCACACATACTGTTTCAAATTCATATTACCTTGAATAGGATTAGGTAATCTGGAAAATGCGAGATCATCATTACAACGTGTTCCATTAGAACAACAACCAATGGCAACATGGTGGGTATGTTTGATTTTACATAGAAACAAGTCCCCATTATCTCTATATGTACAGCCCGATTCCGACCTTTCATAATCCTTCTCTAGAACCAATACCTTGAAACACTGCAAAATAATCACACATTCAAACATTCAATAACGTTAATTGAATTTGTCAGTGATGGAAGGTCTGTTATACAATAAATAACGTTGGTATCAGACATAACAACAAACTACGAAATAATTGTAAAGTAAATGTTGTTGGCAAGTTCGAGATACGTGATCAAATCTGACGTCTGTTTTACTTTACTGCTCTGTGCATTTTCCTTCATTTTGAAACGGACGCAGTGAAGTTGTTGTAAAGAAATCATATCTTTTATTTTACTTTACTGCTCTGTGCATTTTTCTTCATTTTGAAGCGGACGCAGTGAAGTTGTTGTAAAGAAAGCATATCTTTTATTTTACTTTACTGCTCTGTGCATTTTTCTTCATTTTGAAACGGACGCAGTGAAGTTGTTGTAAAGAAATCATATCTTTTATTTTACTTTACTGCTTTGTGCATTTTTCTTCATTTTGAAGCGGACGCAGTGAATTTGTTGTAAAGAAAGCATATCTTTTATTTTACTTTACTGCTCTGTGCATTTTTCTTCATTTTGAAACGGACGCAGTGAAGTTGTTGTAAAGAAAGCACATCTTTTATTTAACTTTACCGCTCTGTGCATTTTTCTTCATTTTGAAACGGACGCAGTGAAGTTGTTGGAAAGAAAGCATATCTTTTATTTTACTTTACTGCTCTGTGCATTTTTCTTCATTTTGAAACGGACGCAGTGAAGTTGTTGTAAAGAAAGCATATCTTATAAATGACCATTAGAAATGTAATGATGATGACTGTATTATTTGATAAAGGGACTGGTCTTAAGTAGTGTTTAACAAAAGCAAAGGTATTGTTGTAAATTTCTGCGTAGGGTACATGTTAAATCAACTGATTCTAGCCTTGATGTTAGGGTGTGGTTAAAATTCAACATGTCATCAGATTATTATTACCGGCAAGCAGCACTAATACATGTATGTTAGGCGTTAACAATTCCCAACCGCGAAACGGGAGGGGATTGTAGAAATCCCCTTCGTTCTTCTGTCCGTCCTCTTCTCCGTCAGTCTGTCTGTCCGTGACATTTTCGTGTCCGTTTTAAATCTCTCACAATCTGTAAAAAGGTTTCATGAAAATTGGCTCAAAAGTTGTGCCACTTGAGGCAATGTGCAAAAGGCACGTGTCAGTCATTTTGCCTCAAAATATCTGAGCCTGCGTTTCGTGTCCGCTTCAAATACACTACGTTCTTTGAAGGATCAATCTGCTTGATATCTGCCACATCTTAAAAAAAAATACGAAACTTGGCGCAAATGTTAAGCTTGCAAAGACGATGTCCAAAGTAACGGTTACTTAATGACCATATATAATTGTACTTTGCTCATCAAAGTTGAATTAACATTCTGCAGTACATGATATTTAAACGACATGTTATTGTTCGTAATAATGACAAAGTGTAATATACGCTAAAAGTAAATCCTTTCTTTTTTTGTAAATCTTTTCTTTTTGTGCAAAATTAGAAATATTCGATTTATGTCCTACAAATATGAAAAAAAAATGAAAGTGCATAAAAAGAAGAAAAAATGATAATAAAGTTGCATAATGTTTCCCTAAGTTCCATTGATCATTTTATCAGTTTTTGGTCTGCCTTTCTGTTCTGGTCTGTTTCTTTTTCTGTATAACTGTAATAAACCAACCCTGCTAATTAAATGACAACCCTTTCTGCTACAGGCATGTAATTTGTACTGAATAAGTGACTCCTGCTTGACATACTTTACGCTCACAAGTTCATTTATAGGGCTTGATGCAAATTATCAGTTTGATACATATTATTTCGATTTGAATGTATGCTAGTTCTTTGAAATTCAAACATTCAAATTCTGGATTAAAACCCAAAGTCAGATCATGTTTTTGATTCTAAATTTCTAAACTGCACTATAAGAACTCTTTCAACTGTGTTAGATAATGTTCAGCAGTTTCGCTACAAAAATATCGCGGTCGGGGAAATAGCTTTAGCATGCCTTGTGCTTATTGTAATCAACTTTGTATACATCTATTGGGCAAATGCAGATTATAAATTGTATTGAGAAAAATCAAAGATACCGCGTTCTTGATCATAGCTAATCTTGCAGAACACTTACCTGAAAATGTGTTTGACAATAGTCTAATCCTGAACATTTATCTTTGGGATAGCAACTACATTTTAATATCGTCCTATCTGTGATATTCATGCTAGATATCCGATCTGCATCCATTCTTGACTTTGAATCCTGTACATCTTCACTTTTACCTGAAAATAAAGAGTAGAGAAGGTCCCCATCTGTTAACAAGGAAATGCTGAAGATGGGTCACTGTCTTTTATTATCATATTCTATATAGAAATATTAAGAATTGGTCATCGTCTGTTGCCACGTCCGTCAGTCATTCACCAATCCTATGACCAACATTTTCATTTTTTTAAACTTGCAAACCGTCTTAATAAAACATAGGAAATGGTCTTATCGTCAGAATGATATTGTGTTTTGTCATAACTGTGTCCTTACAGTATCTGGCGGTGTTTATTTTTTGTTCACATGCCTATTGATAACCAGAACAGGGAAACATATTTCATAAGTATTTGTATGAACAAGATCAATTCAACACTTTGCTATCTCAACTTCTTTTTAAATGATTAACGGATTATACATTATAACAATTTAAAATTATACAAGGAAAAGACTGCGACTATATCAGTTGCCAATAATACTCAACATGACAGAGGGATGTAAATTTGCTCTCTCAAATAACATGACAAGATTTTACTTTAGTTTAAATGTCAAAATATGATACAACCTGGCAAAACAAAGGGAAGTCATTTAGTACATTGGCACTCTAGCTCTGTCAATATATTTAGCACGTGTTGTATTTTATTTTGTTGTATGAAAATGAATGTTATTGAAAACTTTTATTATGAGTTTGTTAATTTTTGAAATAAAAAAAAACACAAAAAAACAACAACACAGGCTTGTACAAGTGCTTTCTCCCTATTATTTTTTTGTCAACATTATGATTATTATTATCAATCCTTTTCTTATTTTAATTATGAAGCAGGATTGTTTTAACTTATTATTTTATAAAGAAAGTAACAAAGATTGTAAATCATCTATTACTGCATACATGTACAAACCGAAATGGCCATTTTGGTCTATATTTGACAGTAAGGCATTGGCATATCAAACTGTGGTTTTGGCGCACTTCTATTTAATTAAGACATAATTACAATTATTAAAGAACGGTACTGTGTGTCTGGATTTTTTAAATATATTATTTTTTATGTCTTATTTTATTGATCAAATGTTCCTTTCGTTTAAATGATCTACTTAATTTGAGTCGCCTGTATTTAAGCAACAGCAAAAGTCTACGTTATTTTTATAATCCTATTTAGTTTGGAAACTCAAGTCTTGCGTAAACTTGCTGTTTTTAAGTAAAGTATGGACACAGCCATTTTTAGCTTGAAATCGTGCGCAATTTTGATTTCCCAAACAAATAATCTCTTTGAAAGCAGTGATGTGCTGTTATGAAATGCCAGAATTTGGTATTTCAATTTTGATATTTATAGTTTCATGGTTAGTCTGTCAGAGCGACTAAGAACAAATACGCAAAACATTTTAGTAAATGTCAATTGTATCATTTTATTGTTGTGTATCTATTTTGTTTCTTTGGTTTGTTTATGACTCACCAACACAGTAAAGGGGTCATATGACGCCGAAACAGGAAATATGATATTTTATGTTACAAACTTCAAAGCATCACCAGCGGTCAAAACCACCCTATTTGATTAGTGATTCGAAACAAGTAAGTCGCCACTTACGGCCTAGCAGGATTATACAGTGGCTGCAGCCGTAAAGCCCAAAGGGACTTGTGTATCAATTTATTTATCATAATGCTCAAGTTAAAAATATAAGACTAAAATGCGAAAAAGTATCAATTACTATTCCCTAACTTTAATTAGGGTGGTCAGAATGATATAGAATGGTAATACATACAATTAAAGCATAATTTCTGTATGTTTTAGTTTGTTGTCTGTTTGTTATATTCCGGTTTTAACACATTCTTTTGGTCCAACCTCGGCGGCCGATCCACCTAACCAGCTTTATCCTGGTTAATTAACAAGTATTTATCAATTTCTACGCAGCTGACTGACTACTAATCACAAATGATTTCAGTAACAGTGGAGAGAGAAAGAAAATGCTACAGGCAAAGTATGGTGATGCCCTAAAAACCGACAACCAAGCTTATTTTAAGATGAACCTTTTTATATGGACACAGATGGTTGATCATTCGCCCACGAGTTCATGAGGATTTTGTTAAATAGGTTTGTATAGAATGATTAAAACGCCTGTGGCCGCTGAGCGACATTCAGTTTGGCCCGGAGCATATTACTTAATTAATTCGATTTTTAACAATCTTCAGATGTAGTGCCAATCTAAATATTTTACATGTCCATAGCATAGATTTATTTTCCCATTTTATAAAAGACTGAAATGGGTTAGAAATAGTTGAAGTAAAGTCAAAATTGATTATATCGATTGACAAAGTTAACACAATTAAAATTACTAAACATAAATATTCGTAAAAAATAACTATGGAATAAAAGCAAAACATTTACATTCATAAATTATTTTTCATTTGTTGTACCAGTTTGATTATTAAATAAACAAGTACTAATAAAATCCGCCTCACTGTGTTTAAATAGTTTAACAATATCGAGAAACAAAATATCCATAAGCATATTTTTCCTGTAAATAACATTTACACTTACCGTATTGAAGAGAAAATGACAAAAAGACAATAATCAAAGCAACTAAAAAGTTCTTTTCCGCCATATTAGGTAACCAATTATAATTTTATGAAAGAATAGTTATTTAGTGTTATAGTTATTATCCTCATCTGTTATTGGCTTGAACACCACTAATATTTTTCTTCTAGGTGCTTAATTAAATAAAAACAACAAACTTCACGTTGTTTTAAATATCGAGTTTTCAACTGAATCAATCTGCAAGTTTTATGGAAGATGTTCATATCAGCTTCATCTTCCAGTTCAGTGATTTTATTCACAAAGGTATGTCCCTTTTATGTCTCTTCCGCTTTAATTTTGTCAGGTCTTTTTAGTACCCACCAACTAAAAGTCATATTAATTTCATTGTTAGCTTCAATAGCAGGTAGAATGCTCCAGTTCTATAGTTTTAACTATATGTGCACGGTACTTTGCTGATGTTTAGCCTTGTTTTCAGCTAATATTTTTTCCGGATTTTTTTTCAGACCACTGACCTGACATCTCTGAAATTTCAATATTTGGAAGTTCCATGATTAATATAAAGTGCGCCTTTTAGCAGCATATTCCGGTACAAAGATTTTTCACAAAGGCAATTTCCTTTTTTAGGTCTATGAAGCTGTTTTTTTTTATTCCGACTACGACTTTTATTTATTTATTTCATTTATTTATTTATTTATTTTTTAAACCCGCTTCGAAACTACACGTCATTTGAATGATGTTCTTTATAAGAGTGTTTAGCTTGTTCTATAATTTCTTTTAGACTAGTATTTAGCAAGCAATTCATTAAAACTTCAGAGGAAGCTTGACTACCACGAGGAGATTTGCATTTTGTGAACGGTTTATAACGTATTCAATATCCCTCATGTACAGACTCAATCAAACCGAGTCTGCAATTCTCTTGTAATTTTGTTGTGATTAATGCTTCCAAGGGATCACTTTGTTTCCAGATTATTATACTTCACAACATCAGGTGTCAAGTGCTGTGTGGCAGCTGTAAAAAGTTGCCCCGTACTTTACTTCAGTGTTGTTATATTTTTCTTGTCCTTCGGGATCAATGATGCCAACACTATTAAGTGTTGAGAATTGAGTACCGCTCAAACCGGTGCTATGGGGCGTGAAGGATGTTGCACGTATTCATTATCCCTCATGTACAGACTCAATCAAACTGAGTCTGCAATTCTCTTGTAATTTTGTTGTGATTAATGCTTCTGAGGGATCACTTTGTTTCCAGATTTTTATAATAATATCTCTCTTATGTTGGGATTCGGATCGGAAGATTACCACCCATGGGGGGACGAGGCTTGCCGACTTGTCGACGGGTACGCGTAGCGACGGATTTTACGATAAGAACCGAAAACACATGCCTTATATTTTTTCTTACATATTCTACTACTTTCTATCATTTTTTAAATGCTTTACCTCAATACAATAATGTATCATGGAAAATTGTGTCATATCATCCGTATAATAGCGTAAAAATTTCATTCATATCGGCAAAACGATACCATCCTAAGCATGCAATTTTAATCATAAATGCGCCAAAATTACGTCATTTTAACGCATTCCATTTATAAAATGCGCCGCTGAAAAGACGTTGATGAATAGCACGTGACAATTTCGCACCCTCTTCCCTTGCCAGATAAAATTGCCTGCATGGGTAGAACTAACTGTAACATACACCAGTCGGATATGCATGGAAAAGCGGGGTTCCTTTAATTTTGCACGTTTCGTCAGCCCCTTAAGTCGCTCCTACTGAAAAATTTTGAGTGTGTTTAACGCTGTTTTATGCGTTACCAGTAGAAACAACAATCCCATTAAAATCAGATCATCTTTTTCGCTCCGTTACTCTTCGCTACGAGCGTATGGTAGTGGAGCGACAATTAGGATATGATTTTTAATAAGATTGTATAAACAGTGTAGTTAACCAAGGTAGATAATCTAGTTCATTGGTACAGTAACTTTATCTCTCTGTCAGATATTCTAGTGACATGCTTGATACTGTAACTATCGATATGTTTTTCATTGACGAAATTCACACACAAATCTTGCTAACATCGTGGTTCAGTTTTACAAAAATTATCAAATGTTTCATTTATAGACGTTGTTCTACATTTTGTAGGCTGCATGCTTAATGTTCATGCTTATTATTCCCTTTTTTGATTGCATCTGACGATTCGGGTGTTCCAAGTGGGATACTATGATGGGCATGTTTTAAAACCCATCAGGACTGAATCGCCTTAAGTTTTGTCTTCTACCTCGTTTCGTAGGGTCATTTGAGGTGATTTCTTTGATCTGTTCTCCTTTATGACATTTTGTACATGTACGTGTCATTAGGATTTCTTTAATATGCGTTTAGAAGAACATTTCAGTCCGTGTTTTCTTTTTTTAACCCTTTGTTACACTGATTACTGCTAGATATTTGGTTGGTGGAGAACATTTTATTAAATACACTGTTTAGTCTCATAGGGTCATTTCGGGAATACATTGTATTCTTCTTACCGTTATTCTCATTTCTCTATAAATTCCGTTTCGTTTCTTATACCCTCACCACCTTCCTAATCAAGTAACGCCGTAATTATCTCATTAAATTTCCTATGCTATCTCTTAATTAACTTTATAATTATTGACTATGATTGGCACGCCCTGTCTTTGCACCGCCCTTGTACCCCCAATCCGTTTTTAAATTGTTTTTGCTGCCATGTTAAGTGCGTTAGATTTTTGCATTTAGGTGGTCTGCGTTGCATGTGGTCCGCACTGCCGGTGGTCAATTGTGGCTGTGTATTTCTGGGTTTGTGTGTAATTAACGTTTTTGCCCTTTCTTGTTGATATTTCTTTTTGTTTCTCATCATCATAATCATCATCATCATCATCATCACCCTCACCATCATCATTTTCAGTAATCGCCTCACTCTTCATTTAGCATAATCGCGATAATTCACTCTCGTCTTTAAAATCATTGTCATTCTAAAAAAAATATCTTGACTGACTGCTAATGCTAACGGTACAATATTATGTATGCTTATGATCGCTAACTGTATTATCATTGCATTTTCATTTTAATTTTGTTGTATTGTATTTTGTTGAATTTCGTTTGGCTGGAGGCCTATATTTTTGATTTTATACATACGTGCATGAAAAAGTAGTATCATGAGGAAATAGATGACACATTGTGTAACAGTATTGATTGCATTGTTGTTTTTTTTTTTCAGCTGGTGGCCAAAGCAAGATAACTAATAATTTAGTCTATATTGCAAGCAAAAATAAATGTAATTAACATATTGGTATATCTGTAAACCCAAAGCAAGATAGATGTACCGAATAATTTGGTCTATCTGGAAAGCCAAAAAGACATAAGCAACAATTTTGTTTATCTAAGAAGTCAAAAGCAAGTTACAGAATTTTTTCTTCTTTAAAAAACACATTGAGAGTAGAAAATTAGATAAATCTTTGTCCTTGTTTATTGGAACCTGGACCCCGTCATAAAATGTCTTACGTCAAATTTGCAATTTGTCCACTTAATGGTTTAGGTTATACATACATGCAGACACTACCTACATGTAGATTACCCGTGGTCTGTACAGAGACAGTTAAAGCGTCTACATGATACTGAGTAGATTAGCCCTTACTCTTAGTACATCTAAATACATAAACTTGATTAACGCGCAATATTTACAGGCGTGTGTAATATCATTCCGCGTGAGATCATTACGTGGCTCTAAATATGCAAATATGACGTTTTCTATTTTAAATTACTACTGCACATACGTACCGGAGGGCGGAAATACGTTATAGCGGAAAAACGAAGGACGAAACCAAGCACATACGAAACCGTGAAAATACGAAATTTAGAAGACAAAAACGCGAAAACAAACAGGTATGATAATGAGAAAGCAAATTTTAATAATTCTGATTGTTTCTTTTTTACTATCGTGTTTTCGTCGTGATGTTTTCGTATTGTTGTCTTTTCATCGACTTTTTGTGTTTCATGATTACTTCATTCAAAGGCGATTACCCTAACAGAACACAGAAATACTCTAATACATGAAAGAACGAAGACGTAGATGCGAAATAAAGAGTCAAAAACGAATATACAATCGTATTTTTACCATTTCGTGTTTTGTTTTCGTGACTCCTCAGATGTCTTCACTCTTACATAATCTTAGTGTTTTATAAAATTAAGTGAGAGTATATGTTTAAATTCATATCATCTTTTACCGTTAAAGAATTAACCCAGACTTTATTTGACAGTTTAATTTACAAAATCTAACATTTCATTATGCTCGATATAAAAACAATATAAATCATCTCTAAGTGTATGATCAAATTAAATATAATCTTATTGTCTGACAATCAACAATGATTTGTTAAAGAGATTATAATTGAAACATGTGTGGGAAACATTAGAAACACATTGAAAAGCAAATATTTAATCATAATTCAAATGAAACACACATAATAAATAAAATTAATACAAACATGAATAAATGATCAACATTATTTTTGTCCAATCGGATTGCAGTATTTTTCAAATTTCGGCTTTGTCTAACTTTCGTTAATGTGTACTTACTAAATAATATTTACTTAATCAGTCGTCTAACCATTCTTACTAAAAGCAGTTTAGAGAAATGCTTTGTTTTTGGTTGAAAAATAATGTTGATCATTAAATAGGTTAATGTTTAATAATATGCATTTACAAAATGTTGTGTTAATACGTATTATTAAACACTAACCTATACATAGTTGTTAGATAATTTTATTTTTTAAGTTGTAATATATAAATGTAAAGTACCCAACTTTATTCATATTCATGTTATCTATTAAGGTTATTGTTATAATAGTAATCCACTTTTTCTGTTATATGCACGTTTATGTCCGGTAAACGTAGCGATGGATAGTAAGTCTTCCCTGGTCTGTAAATTCTGATATGGTAGCGATACAAACTGTTGCATTCATTCCGTCTGTTGAATCAAAATCAACTACTCCTTCTCTTTCTCCAAGAAATATACCATGATGATAATACTTTAGCCCAGCCTTCTTGCTTGCCACTGCAATGTGATCCCCTCTTTGCAATGACCTAGAAAAGAAGATTGTACATTTTCCATCATTTATCTACTAAATAGTATGTTAGATTGTGTCTGATTTCATGTTAAACTTACGTTTTTAACAAATTAAGACTGTTTTGCTCATATTTCTTTTTGCTCTTTCTAATAAATGACTATAGCTTCACTAGTGCTACATATAGCCGGAAAAGTTCATTTACTTTATAGTTTCTACATAATTTATTTTAGATCGATATTGTGTTGGAAGCTGCCAGCTCATTGAAACACGAAAGATCCAACGGGTACTAACCAATGATTGTAAAGTTTGTTTGCTCATAGCCTGACAGGGTGAAACGCCCGCGGCCAGCAATCCTTATATTACTAGTCCGGCGCATTACCTACCCGGTCATGTCGATAAATATACATTTACTGATTATGAAAAGATGTGTCAAATACTATACATAACTACAGTGCCTCTCCAACGTGACATTTTTGCGATATGCGTGGAGCAGAAAACCAATTATACAAAAGGCAGTTCAGGTTTTATTTTCCGCCATATATGTTTTTTTTCTGCTATATTCTTGTTATGTATTATTGTTTTGGGAGAAAGTATAAAGACAGCTCATTTTAGTTAGGAACTAAAAAAACCTATTTTTTATGGGAAAAAGTAAAACACGTGAATAACCGATTGTTCAAACACGCTGTTTCACTTTCCTAATAAATACTGTTTCTTCCCATAAAACATTCTATGTGTGAGTTTCTCACTAAAATGAGAGGGTTCTACGCTATAATCATGGAAGAAAATAAAATCCGTACCGTCTATTGAATAGGTATGTTGTCCAAAGCAGAACATAAAATGTCACGTGTTATACAACTTATGATAATTTACACAAAATAACCATAACTAATTTCAATAACTGCAATATTGAATAAATTCTATTCTAATCTTAACATATATCTGATCTGCTTTAATCTGTTCATATCATGAAATAACTTACGGGCTAGCTAATTATACACGATATGTGAAGAAATGTGTTCACTTGTTTTCCAAAAAAGAACATTAAAAGGTTTCACATTGCTATTTTAGTAGTAAAGATAGAAAATCGAAACACATTTTAATTTATTTTTAACTATGAAATATGTTTAAAATTGAAAACAAATCAAGATAACCGTTTTATTTTTCTAGAAGCGCGTAGAAATATGTGTTGAATTTGCCAAAATCTGGTGCGGCACAAAGAAAGCGATTGCTATTTATGGAAACAAAAATCAATGTATTATAAGTTTAATTTTGTATCGATCCGCGTGATAATGTCATCAAAATATTAAATTTATAACATTATACTTACTTCAATAAATTGTTATTTCCACCTGTATTCGTATTATTATCTAAATTCTAAAAACGTGTAACTTTCGTTTTCAATATTGGTAAATCCAGATTATTCACTGTTACTATTTTTAGCTCTTATGTATACATCTCTTATACGCATTGTTACTCATGCACATATTTATAGTTTTACTGCCAACGAAAGGTTAAAGAATAAATTAAAGTATTCAATATGTTGATGTTTTTGTCAAAACAATTAGTCAGTCATCAATGACCAATTATTTATTATATAGTAACCGGATTTACAAATATAAAGAAAGAAAACATTTTTTTTTCTTTCAGTTAACTATCATTAAAGCAACTGTAAACTCAAATAATTGCTGTAAAATGTTCAGTTTAGTTTTTAAAACGGATTATAAAATGATCTAGGACTGCTCAGTTTGTATCCGTCTACATAAGTTTTGTGTAATAAGCACATTCTTTATTTCCGTAAATATTCAAAAATTTGGTTTCTGTCTGAAATTTAATTACAGTACGATTCTGTTTCTGTTTTGTAAGCTAACGAATAATGAGGCATTTAACACCTTTAAGAGGTTCACTATTTATATGTGCATTACATTGAAAAACTATCAAACCGTAGCAATATTTGATGGAGCCGAACATAAACAGCCTAAAACACATTTATTTTCTTATTGAATTTCAGTCACGTTATTTGTAACAATATATGAAAATGGAAGCTTTACTATTGAATGCTGATTGTCTAGCTGAGTGTTCGTCCAAATACAGTCTAACCTGCATAAAGTGGTCAGTAAGGGGACTGAGCCAAAATGACCGCTATGGACAGGGGACCACTGTATCCATATTGACTCTTATTGTTATAAATGTTTTGATAAAATATGGCTCTATATGGATGTATTCTTTTGAAATCTACTCAAATAGTACAAATTTAAAGCATACGATGTGCATGATAAAGTTACAGCATAACTGTTATTCAGTATTCAAAATAAAACAATTTTGTAAAAAAGTATGTTGTTTTCTTAAAGTTTTCTTGTTTTTGTAGTGCAATTCTGATACAAACAACGTGTCCTTAAACGAACTGGTTCATATTAAATCACGAAAGAAAATTCAATTTTTTTTTCACGATATCGCAATCCCGTTCAAAAAATCGAAATAATAGTTACAAATCTATAATGAAAACGAAATCACTTAGTTAAAGTTCAAATCAACCAAATGATATCAATTAATACAAACAAAATTACTAAATTGCTAAAATTCATAGTCATATAATATTATTATCAGATGTTCGATGCTTCCGGTAAGGTGCCGTTATATTTAAGCGTTGCACTTTTTTACAGTTGTTTTTTTTATTTCACTCTTACTGTTACTGACACTTATATTGTCTTATTTGGACTGATATTTAGTGGCCGCGTTAAACAGGGTCACGTTATAAAGGGTGCCTTATATATTAGGATTCCTCTCCGTCGGACCTTTATCTGACCTTTACAGTCAGGGTCACGTTGTATAAAGGTGACGGCTAATGCAGTTTTGACTGTGTTCTTTTTCTGTGTGAAAGGCCCAAGGGGAAAAAAACAAAGGCAAAAGCGAAAATCTAAGATCCAGTTTTATCGAGTCTCTTCAGGAGATATAATGGGAAGTAAAGCGTCTCTAATGCCTCCTAACACCGGCTTGGGTACCTAAAACAAAACACGAGAAAACAGCAAGGCAAAGGCAACGTTCGCAGGACGCAACCCCAACACACTACAGCCACAACAGCAGGGCACCCAGAAGGCACCAAACCAAGACCTGGGGAGGGTATATGGGCGGCGAAAGGAGGGAAAGGACATGTAATTCGGATGACAATAAGGTCTTTTTTTGGGGATCGATCGATTCAAATAAATGTAATGTAGCATGGACGTGACTGTATGGCAACAGATTACTAGTATACAACTGAAACAGGACTTGTGCCCATATTGCGATAATGGTAATACCGTATATACGTACCGATAGAACCATGGTTGTGGTAATACTAATAACACGATAACAAAGGGTGACATACTAGTACGATATTGAAAACATGTCACTACGATGGTGAAAACTCAACAGTATGAATATCACATCATCATCATTATCATCATCGTCGTCACCATCATCATTATCGTCATCATCACCACCATCATCGTCAAAAACATAGCACTATCGTAATGTCATGTTTTGCTGTGGTAATATATCGTTTTTCATCATTGTGAACCATGTCTCCAATCATTAAATTCATGGGCTATTGTTTTAATGAAATTTCGAATTATATTGTCAATTTTATTACACAGAATAACATCTGACTGATAAAATGTTTAGTATGCGGATATATTTGAATCTCTGTTGAGAAAATGAAGTTTTTTACCTGTTATAATAGAATCGCAAATCTAATATTTTCAATCTTGTTTCAATCTCGCAGAAAACTTGTGCTAGTAAAGTTTTTGAATAGACAAGGCAAACCAAACTATAGTCTGTGGCAATGGTTTATTGCAATTTGGCTTATTCGAATTAAACAATTAACACGTGCTTCTGTGTAGTGCGACAAAAAGAACCCAATATTTTCAATATTATATAGTTTTATATAATATTTTTTAAAGTGAATTGGTCGGTCCATAACGGAAGGACTGTAATATCATTAAACAAAATTTTGATAGTATTTCGAATAATTAGTGGCAACATGCCATGAAAACCTCTATATGGTTTTGGTTGATCGGTGCTGATGATATAAATGATCATATAAATACTTTATAATAACATAATCTTAAATTTTATCTTATATGTTATTGTATGTGAGTTTGTTTTCAATATTTAAAATACTTATCAAAATTGTGCCCATTACAGACCAATCCCCTTTAAGGTAAATGTATAAGGACATTTTTCATTATTTGAAACTCATGTGATCAATCCACTTTAAACCCGACAACCAAATTTGATATAAAAATGTTGGTTTCTCGCCAGATAAAGGCAATTATAGCACTTTCAAGTTATTTGAAACATTTAACATGTGTGTTCGTTTTAACCTTTATTATAAAAACAATTTCGGTATTTGCTTTATACATGCACACTTTTTCAAATATTCCGTCATGTCGTTAAGGTTAAGAACAGATAGCATAATTATATGATATAAAGTCCTTATCTTTAAACGGTCTTTAATGTAGAACAACGTTTAAGCCGAACTGACGATAGACTGGAAGGTTATTTAAAAACAAAATGAAGGGGATTTTATTTCTTATATTCACTTTCGTTTGTACACTGACTGCAGCTGAAGAAGGTAAATGACATTATTTAAAGATTATATCAAGAATAAATAATATAGTTCATGGACGTTTTGTGTCCTTTTACCTAATTTTACTGTACATCGTTGAACGTTTCGTATTTAAACGTTTACGACTTAAACGTAGTAGCTTTTGACTATCAGGTAAACACGTTTTAAGATAAGCGTCGCATGCGTGGATCAGGTCTCCCCTCCTATTGCAAGTCTATTTTTATGTATAAAATATAATGCAACACCAAAGTCTGAATATTTACTTATATTTTTGTTCAGTGAAAATTACGCTAACTAAATCGACCAATGGAAAACAAGTCAACGCCAAATCCCTCCTGAAATATGCATTATATCTTGCCGAACTTCAGCGACCTTCTCCGGAAAAGGATCCTGGATCCGTGTATGTTACGGTTAAATGTTTCAAAATAAAAAGTAAAAGTATTGTTGCAGATAGATTTCTGCTTAGATTTTAGGTCGCAAAAAGGCTCCATGTAGCTTTTACATCATTCTCTGTTTCAGATAAGGATGGTGTCATGTTACAAAGACTTACCGCTACTGAAAATCTTGTTCAAGATCTTCTTCATGAAGTGAATGATTTGAAATCTCGAGATAAGGTCCGACAGAACAAGGTTGCGTACTTAGAGAAACAGCTTCGTTTACAGCGACAGCACAGCTTCAACTTGGATAAAATGATAAAGAAATTAAAGTCATGTAACAAAAATGAAGATTCAGATCTAGCTAAAGTGTCCGAAGTTGAAACGTCCGTGAAATCTACAGTTGAGAGGGATCAAGGTATCAAATTATTATTAATACTAATATATGTCATGCCAAATTTAAAATCTGAATTGACCAAATTATTGTCATTTTTTTATCAAAGCAAAGAAGTTTAGTTTGCATTCTTCAATGTTATTGGTCTATTTTGTAAACATGGATTACATATTTAATAAGACAAAATGGCAGAATATTTTGTTTTCTTTAAGTTTCGTTAAAAATCTTAAATGATAGAGCAAGCAACATTTCTATTTTATTCAAATATTATAAATATGTATCCAAACGACCCCCTCAGGTTCTGTTTTTTTTTGTATGTATGCATTGACTTTCTAATATTGTAGGTGACTTTAAGAATAGAATACGTAGACAGAACGTTGAAAGTCCAATTGCCTTCTTTGCTAAAATGGATGCTCATCTGGAACATGCTGGCATACATCAAACCGTAGTATTTGACGTGGTCGTAACTAACATTGGAAACGCATACAACAAACATGTCGGTGTCTTTGTTGCTCCCGTAGCCGGAACTTACGTATTCTCGACAACTCTTGTTTCCCGCCATTTTGCCAGTGCGCATGCGCAATTTGCTGTAAATGGAACAGCTATTACAAATATGTACGTAAGCGGAGGAAACTCTGGGAGTGGAGATGATACGACCAGTCAAACTATTGTTCTTCAGCTACAGCAAGGTGATGACGTAGCAATTCAAAATCTTGACTCCGACAAAGGTTTCTATGGAGTCAGTCACAGCACATTTTCTGGATTTTTATTGTACGAAGGTTTCTCTCCTTCAGCTATAATAGGAAAATAATTATTATTATAAAGCACAATAAAACTGAAGGATTAAAAAACATTGTCATTAATTCAAACACCTTCCTTTTTTCATGAAATAGCAAATATATGACTATAAATAATTATGTAAATTAGAATTAATGTATATGCCTGTTTACGAAAATATTTCACTATAAGTAATACGTTGTAATAAGATGTGTGGCGTCTAAGCGGTCTGGTGGCGTGGTTGTCGACCTGGCGGTTATAAAAACAATAAAAACGGCAATTAATGATGTTCTAAGGACACTCCTTGTTATTTTAAGTTATTTAAAGGGTATATAAAAAGAAAAGAAAAGCATTGAGAAAGCTTTTTTATTAAAAAAGCCAGAAATTATTACAGTTATAGAAATGATCTAAACATGATAAAAACAGGACATTATGAAGTTCTTATTAATAAGACAATTTTTGGAAAGATATATAGAAAAGAAAAAATCACTTTGAGAGATATTTTTATTCTATCATTTTTTTGAAGTTTTAAAATTTTAATGTTGTTGAAATGTTATATAAAACGGGATTTAATGAAGTTCTTAAGACAAACCTTGTTATTTAAAGGATATTATATAAAAACTTTGAGAAAACGTTTTTATTTTATTATTTTTGTGAAGATGGCGGCCTAGCGGCCTAGATTTATAATGTTGTAAAAGTTTGGAAACTAATTGAAAAAAGACTCTTACTTAAGTTTTAAAGACATATCTATCATTTAGCAGTTATATAAAAGTAAAAAAATGAAATTTTGAAAGATTCTTTTTAATAGCGGCCTGGCAGCCGAAAATTTTACAGTTGTAGAAATGTTATAAATATGATGAAAACGGGACTTTATGAAGACTATTCTTGATATGTAAAAGGTTTATAAAAAGAAAAAATCATTTTCAGAGAACTTTTTGATTTTATCATTATTGTGAAGTAGTCGGCTTGGTGGGCCAGCGGCCTGGCGGTCAAAAAATTTAACGTTGTAGAAATGTTATTTAAACAATAGTTTACTGCTAAATGATATTAAGATAAGTCTTTAAAACTTAAGTAAGAGTCGTTTTTCAATTCTTTTCCAAACTTTTACAACATTAAAAGTTTAGGCGCTGGGCCGCCAGGTCGCCAACTTTACAAAAATGATATTTAAATAAAAAAGTTATTTTTTCTTTTTGTATATCCTTTAAATAACAAGAATTGTTAAATTAGAACTAATTAGATTAATTACCATTTTATTGTTTAAATAACATTTCAACAACACTAAAAGTAACGGCGGCTAAGGCCGCCAACTTCACAAAATAATAGAATAAAAAAAATCTCTCAAAGAGATTTTTATATACCTTCAAAATAAACAAAATAGTCCCTTCAAAACAAACAAAATAGTCTTAAGAACTCCATTATGTCCCATTTTTATTATCTACTAGATCTTTGCAAGGAGAACAATTTGTGTATATTAAATGGTCGTAAAGATGATGGTAAATGCACTTATAATTCAGTATATAGAAATAAACCAGTGTCTAGTCTGGTAGATTATGTAATTTCAAATATAGAATGTTATGAAAGTGTATCAAATATGTGTGTTTTAGATATTAATGAATATTCTGATCATTGTCCAGTAACATTTTGTCTTTCTTATATTATATCAGATTTACCAGACGAATACTTAGAATTTGATAACATTTTATGGAATTCGTCCGAAAATGGGGATTTTTTAAACATATTACAAAGTAAGTGTTCTGTGTTTAATGATATCAACCAGAAACTGTTAAATGGTGTATATGATATCAATCAATGTGTGACATGTTTTTCTGACACAGTTTATGATATTTCATATTCATGTTACGGTAAGACGTATAATAATCGTCCAAAACAAAAGAAGCGGAAATCGCTATGGTTCAATGAAGATTGTAGACATGCAAAAAAGTTATTTTGTGATGCGAAGAGACGTAATGCTAGCTTTAAATCCGAAGAAAATAAATTAGTTTTGCTTACTTGCAGGAAAAAATACATTAAAATTAAAAAGGCGGCTAAAAGCAAGTATTTTCATAGAGAAAAAATAAAAATGTCTGATATTAGTAAAACGTCTCCTCGTAAATTTTGGAAATATATTAAAAAATTTAGAAATACAGGTGGATTTGAATCTAATGCTAGTCTTGAGGAGTTTAAAAATTATTTCAAAAATATGTCTAATGATAGTCAAAGCCAGTCGGAACGTGATGAATTTTCACAAGAGAGTCACGAAACTGTAAATATTGATTTTCTTGATAGAGAAATTTCTGTGGAAGAGGTCCAAAAAACAATATCTTCTTTGAAAAGATACAAAAGTTGTGACTATGACAATAATGTAGCCGATTTTTTTATTGATGCAAACAATGTTATATCTCCCTATTTATGTACAATATTTAACTATATTTATAATAACTGTTTATATCCTGAAGCATGGTCTAAGGGAGTTATTGTTCCGATATATAAAAAAGGTGATAAAAATATACCTGCGAATTATAGAGGTATTACATTAATAAATGTTATAGGGAAGATATTTTCTTTGATATTAAGAAATCGTATTAATAGCTGGTGTGAACAAGAACATGTTTTTAATGATTCTCAGTATGGTTTTCTAGAGGGTCGCTCTACAGCAGATGCTATTTTCCTACTTCATGCTATTAAACAGAAGGTTCTATCAAAAAAATCAAAACTTTGGTGTATTTTTATTGATTACCAAAGAGCATTTGATACTGTTTGTAGAGATAAATTATGGAATAAACTGTTACAATCAGGAATTAGCTGTAAAATGACAAATATGATCAAATGTATATATTTAAAGGTTCAAGCTTGTGTGAAATTGTCAAATAACATGAATATGTCAGACTTCTTTAATGTAACGATAGGTTTAAAGCAGGGAGAACCTTTGTCTCCTCTACTTTTTCTACTTTTCATCAATGATATTTCTGAAAATTTGGATTTTAATGCTTTGACTGAAAGGGACTTTGAACTTTTGTCTAGGTATATGATTTTATTTGCTGATGATATTGTATTACTTACGACAGATCCAAATAGCCTACAGGCTCAAATTAATGCTGTGCAACATTATTCTAAAAAATGGGTTTGAAAATAAACGTTAGTAAAACAAAAATTTGTGTTTTTGAAAAGAGAAAACAAACTGTATATACTGACTTCTATATAGATAACGAAAAAATTGAAATTGTTGACAATTTTGTTTATCTTGGAATCAAGTTTACTTACACCGGTACTCTTGTAAATGCTGTAAAAGCACTGCATGAGCAAGCTCTTAGGGCGTATAATAATCTTTTAAACGTTTTTGATAATGTTAGTCTAGATATTCGTACCAAGTTATCTCTTTTTGATACTATGATTGTCCCTATATTAACGTACGGATGTGAAGTTTGGGGTGCTTATAATTATAAAGAGGTAGATAAATTACATATTCGATTTTGTAAATATATATTAGGCGTAAAGAAACAAACTCCTACATATGCGGTATATGGTGAACTTGGCCGAGTGCCTCTGTCAGTAATATGTAAAGAAAGAAGCGTTAAATTTTGGTTGAAAATTATGAAAAGTAATGATTTACCTATTTATCAAATGTTTAATGATTTATGTAATAATGTAAGTACCTCTAGTTGGGCTAGTAGAATGAATTTCTATTATAGATCATTTAGGTTTTTTCAGATATAAGGTTGACATTTGATCCTAGGGTTAATTATTACCTTTTTGATAAAATCTAGAATACGAGATAATTTATTCAAGAATGGAGTTTAAATATTAATTCTATGTCAAAATTAGATTGTTATTGCAAATATAAAACTGAATTTTGTTTTGAAAAGTACTTGGATGTTATATTGAATGATAAGCTAAGGCAGCATTTGACATGCTTGAGATTGTGCTCACATAGTTTAGATATAGAATTAGGAAGATATAATAATATTGAAAGAAGTAATAGATTGTGCAAACTATGTAACCAAAATGCAGTAGAGTCAGAATATCATTTTGTTATGTGTTGCTCACGTTACAGTAGTATTAGATCGAAATATTTGGGCCAGTGTTCATGGCCAACTTTACAAAAGTTCAATGCATTGATGTCAAATAAAAGTAAAAAATATATGTTTAATCTAGCAAAGTATATAAAAGAAGCATTGTGTTTACGTCAAAATACCCTTGAAAGTTTACCTGTCTTCTGATCGTATATTGTACTTCATTATTTGTCTATGTTAGCTATGTATATAAAAGTCTTTGCCATAAGTTTTTTTTGTTTGTTTGTAAATGGCCAAAGGCAAATGTATTGCTGATTGCCAATAAATAAATGAAATGAAATGAAATATTATATTTAGAACATTTCTACAACTGTCAAATTTCTGGCTTTTTTAATAAAAAAATTCTAAATGTGATTCTTTTTTTCTTTTTATGAATCCTCTAAAATAACAAAGAGTGTCCTTAGAACATCATTAATTGCCGTTTTTATTGTTTTATAACATTACTAAAAATTAAAATTGTCGGCCGCCTGACCTGCTAGGCTGCCAACTTCACGCCGCCAGGCCGCTGGGCCGCCAACTTCACACCGCCAGGCCACCAACTTCACACATCTGTTGTATTATTATTATTTTTTTTTTTTTTGTTATTATTTTTTTTTTTTAAGTTAGCAGTTGTGTTCATAAGCATTGTTATGCTTTATGGCATTCAGAGTTGCTAGTTACTTTCCCCGTTAACATTCTATGTTCAACATAGGATGGTGTATTTCAAAGGTACTATATACTTGTGAGTTATTATCTACATTTCCTTCGACCGAAACATTAAGTCTTGCGTTTGGGTGATCTCTTCACTGGTGTTAATACATTTATTACGTACGCAGTATTTACATTTTACAGTTTCTACATTTGTTTTGCTTTAAGAATCAAATCCCTTCAAACATCAATCAAAGAAAGCTGAGGTGCTTTGCAGACTAGTAAACTCGTTATTTACTTAGCAGATATTTAGCAAGAAATAGTTTTTCTACTATTATTTTGATAACAAAATCGAGGAATTATTCTCCATATTCGTTGTGTACTAAAACTACGCTTTGAGGACAGATGATTTCAAACTGTAAGCATGATTAAACGATTTTACTATCTGACAGATACATCTATTCTAGATAGGAAATTGTTGGTGACGATTATATTGTAAGTGTGGTCATCCTCAAAAACTTGCTTACTGCAAAATACACCATTTAATATCACCAATTTAAAACGTCCGTTCCTGGCCATGAAGTTATAATGCACAGGTCGATAAGAATATTCTGAATAAAAGTCAAACAACGTGATTGTTTGGTATCATATAAAATCGGTTTTCTGAATATTAATATTGCTGAAGGAAATTCCTCTAGAGAAATCGTCATGAGTGAAATTGTATGTCAAAGCACCAATGAAAAAAGTCTTAGAAAGAATAGAATACAGTACAGTTTCCAGATAAAACATTGTAAATAGGAGATAATCCTTGAACGTTCTGCCCAGGGATAACCCTTGATTTCTCTCCCTTCGCAAAATGTTTAATAACAAAAAGCCTAAAATCACTCGCGTTCGCTGTTGAACTTAACAACTAACTATTATACTTTGCAGTTTTCTTTAAATCGAATAAAACGTGATGTTTTCTCTAGTAAATTCGGTAATTGTTTCGGTTCGCTTTATAATAAAAGTAGTAGGATGTTTTGTTATGCTGAAACGTGAAGGAAAACATCCGTGAGTCATTATATTCTTGCAGTTATGTTATTAAATGGATAAAGAAGAGAAAATTTAGCACCCCCACTCCGCTAGAAATTTAAAGGTATATCACCTTTTTTGTTCATTAGCATCTGCAGGAACAGGAGGGTGCATTTAAAAATGAGCTTGTGTAATAAATGAATTAACGATTGATGCATTACCGCGATTCGGACATATAAAAATAATGTCTGATATGATAATTTAGCGTTTCGTTATATCTTTTATTTATAATTTTCTTTAAACAAAAACATGAAAATTATAAACATTTTTACTTGAACTAATTTTATTATTTTATTAATAATTATACTCATTTGAATACATGCAGATGTAAGCGACTTAAGTAAAAATGCAATAAATCAAAAATCTTTAACTTCTGGGTCCTAATGTTGTTGGATTTTAGGTGTTTTTTATTTATCAAATATTTATCAAAAATAAGACTAATATGTATTCATAAGAAAAGGACGCATGTTGTCAAAATTCCAGTAAAATGTGTATGTGTATTTTTAAAGATATTCCCGTGTTTTGGAAACAGATCATAGCATAGTAATAAAAGGTAATAAAAAGTATATATTAACGGCACATGTATACCGCTGTCGGTGCACTTTAATCTGATATTACAAAGAACATGAGACGTTGAAATGGCATAACGTGTCTGTACGATTTAATTTCCACGAAATCAGTCATCTGTGACGTCATCATTACACAATATTTCACGTGACGAAGTCTTTTGTAGCTGATTCCTTGATTTGATCCACATTATCTGAAATAAAAAACATTATGGTTACGTAAATATATTAATTTCACAGCTATTTATGTAATATCTGATATAAATCATAAGTATGGTAAACTTCGAGAGTTCATTTTAAATTTTCGGGTCACTGTGCGCATGCGCCTGTTGCTTTTTTCTTTACGAAGTGTAAACGTGAATATTAATATTAATTTTGTGTATATATCTCTTTTTTATATTATCTTTTCAGATTTTCCTAATTCAAGAAAGTGCTTCTCTTGGTTTATGCCAGAATTTCAAATATTATTTTGAAAGCTTTTTGACTTCAGTGGAGTTCCTTTAAAAGTCAAGTGTTTGTTGGACTCGTCTAACAGTAGAACCTTTGGTTTTTTTATTGAATCTGTTGCAAAATGGTCTTTGAAATTGGATGACTCTTTACACATGTAACAGATTGTTAATGTTATTTCTCTGACATTTGTTTTTTCATTCAAAGTAAAATTACGTACCAATTTAATGCATGGGAACTGCCACGTTGAGAAGAACATCAGCAGAAAGGCGATATATAGAATTGTTCCAATAACATAGCATACTAATTTCAAAATAAGAAATGATTTCTTTACACACAATTTCTGCTCAATATTTTCCTCTCCATATGAACAATCAGCATATTCGGTTCCACAGTCTTGGCCAAGGTCTTGGTCAAACGTTACATATAAATAGCCTTCGTCACACATTTCAATGCAGTATCCATCCGACAGCACAGGTTTGTTACAATCTTCAACTTTTATACAGTTTTTACCATCTGCCACCATTTTAGGTCCACATGATGAAACACAAATAGACCAATTTCCGGTTTTAATCATAAATGGCTTATCAGCTGGACATGTCCAATTTAGTTGTGAATAAATTGATGGCTCGTCATTGAATGTAATGTGTGTCTGTAAAGAAAATACATATAAAATAAACATATAAAATATTTTTATTTTAATATAATGTTATTAAGTTCAATGTTTGTCTACCGCTTAAATAAATACATATAAAAATAAAAACATTATGCCAGTGAGAGATTTCATTGATAAAATCACACTGTACTTGGATAGAGTCTTGTTTTCTGAAAATAATAAATTTAGGAATCTGGAATTACTTGGAAAAAATACAGATACCGTAAATACCGTAAATCATTTCTATTGTAATGCAAGTCCGCGAATCTACTACCTTACACACAAACAAACAAATCCTCTATATCTTTCCTTGCCAAATTAAAAAATTTTTGCATTCACTATTTTTAACACCAGAAAAATGATACGCTGGGAATGTGTTTTCGAAAGCAAGTTGTGTAAAACGTCATACATGGTATCTATTTCACAATGTGTACTCAGATGTAATATACACAAAACAATTGACATATACTTTTAATTTTATAATGACTCGAATTTGACATTTTACAGAACAAAAATCATATAAGATATGACATTTGTTCTCGTATGACATTTTGTGGTTATTATACAATATTGAGTACAATACTGATTCTATTGGACTCATAAACAGCTGCAAAACCTATATCAGACTCTGTTTGTGCCTCGTCCAATATAGGTTTGAAAGTTGTGTACTCGTTCAATAGAATTCACAAGAAAAGCATTGATGCAAAGCATCAAAGGGCGTCCAAGCAAGAAATGCAGCAAGTGAAGATGAACTAGTACACATATGATGACAAGATATTCTTATAAACTACCAGAAATGTATACCACTTATGAATAAGTTCTTTAGCGGAAACTCGGCAGAGCCTCGTTACCGCCGTAAACAGTTACCCTCGAGCTAGATATTCCGGTCTGTACCGGCAGCCGGTGTAAGATTCTTATAATATTACTTGTTATTTCTTTATGATCGTGGTTATTAATAGCAACGGATATACATGTATGCAATCATTTATAATCCATATGTGTAACGCATGATCAACACGTACCACACATTTGTCCCTTATTATGTACATGTTATCGCTATTAGCGAAGACCCCCTTAAGGTATCTGTTCACACTTTAAGTTAGTAAAAATATGACACTGGTTATATTACCATGTTGATCATGTTGAGCATAATTGTTTATTATACAATAATTGTAATATCTATTAATTTTAATTAAAAAAAATACAAATTTTATGAATATTGTTTTCTTTTATTCTTTTTTGTGTTTTATGTGCTATTTTAATACTGAGTTTTTACTACTCTTTTTTATTAAAATTGTAAAATAAATTTTAAGAATTCAATTGTCATATTGACCGACGATTATAAGTCAAAGCTTACCTGGAAAAAGTCAGTAAATTATGGTTTATCTTTCAATATATAATATTGTTTATTCTTAAACCATGTACATATACATTGTATTTTTCTTTATCATTTTTTAAATTATCGATCATTGAATAATTCATAAAATCTAATTTGTAACTTTGAATAATTCCTCGGCATCTTTACTAAACACGGATAACAAATTGAATAATTAAATAAAATGTTTCAAAGTTGATAATGTCATTTTAATACCATAAAAAATGTACCTTTTTCTCAATTATTGTACATATCACGGATTTATATTACATATAAATCCGTGTACATATTTATTGTTTTTATCTCATATAGATAAAATGAAACATGCTATTGTTGTTTTTTTCTAATTGTAACGATATCAAACATCTACTCCAAAACCGGGAGAGACCGGACAATAAACGTGTGGTACTATTCGCCGGTCACTAGTAAATCCTGGTCAAAATAGACCGGGAGAGACCGGCATTTACCGATAGGAGTGATAAAAAGATATATCTATAAATAGGTTTTTGGAATATTTAGGTCATCAACTGATCATTCTAAGGATACATGTACAACAATAACATACCATGACATGATAACCGACTGTGTACTACAAAATGATAAATAAAAAACCCCGAAGAGCGCGATTTATTGACGGAAAAGGTTATTTCATTTGTAAATGTTTGCATTGCGAAAATTCATTGTAACATATCGCGACATTTCATTCTTATTTAATAATCAAGCACCCTCATACCGATCGGAATTTTCGGCTTTTATTATGACCGACTAAAAGGCTCGAGAAGTTGCTGTCGCCCTTTCACAAAATCTGATCTCATTCCATGAGAGCGCCGCGCTTCGGCGCGGACGCCAATTATTATATATTGATAAATCTAACCAATCGACAATCTGTATGTGTGCCTCGTGACCCTCCAATATATTCCCGTATTGGATCCAAACAAATATATATTATTGTCATATTGGACGGTTGGGTACATGTGCACTAAACGACAGTGCATATATTTTGACGTGACGTTATTTGCGTTATATAAACATAGCTAAACTAAATATTGTCAATGTGATAATTGAGATCAGGGGTGTCAATGTGATATTATTGGTGTAATTTTTTTCCGAGAACTAGTTTATATTAAATAACGACAGACATGTATATATCGTTTTAACACATTACTAAAACAACCAAAAGAATAAGTTTACAGTCTTATTTTCATTTATAAACATCGCCCGCTTTATAAGGAGCAAAAGTGCTAACGTTATATTAAAAACACGTGTGTAATAATGGAAATACATGTATGTTATTTTCATGATTTTAGAAAACAGAAAAATCATGTGAAAAGAAAGCACTTATTTTAAAATGAGTACAGGAATAAATTAAAACGTAACATATCTTATCATTTGAACGAACTTTACATATCATTTGAACAAACTATAAAAAAATACATAAACAGCAACTTACGGTAGTTATAGAACACATATATCCAATTAAACAAGCAGCGAGCAGTGAATTTCGACACGCCATTATTGACATTTGGAAGTACGCTGGTATTTCCGTTATCTATTTTTAGAATCGATTTCATTTTCACTGACATATACCTATCTGTGTAATCATGGCTACGAGTACAGAAAATAATTCAGAATATTTTGCAAACGATTGCCGTGATCAGGATTTAAAAGCTAAGATACCAGCTTTACCCGAAGGGAAGACAAAGCATTTCTTTGTTTCTTACACCAGTTTAGACAAAGAACGTGTTCATTCGGTAATTGAGGACGTCGAAAAGAGATTTGGTCTACAATGTGTATTTGATGAACGGGACTTTCAGGGTGGGAAGGATATAACAGTAAATATACGTGAAGGAATGATGTCTTCATTAAAGGTATTACTCTTTCTGACACCAAATTTTCTCGAAAGTGGTTGGTGTAAGTATGAAACTGACGCGGCATTTATAAACTCTATGGGTTGTGGCTATAGCTGTATTGTGCCTGTACTTCTTGAAGAGTGTGAGATACCGCCTACACTTGTGACCTTGACCTACATTGATGCAACCATACCGGGATTAGATGTGCCAGCCAAAATTGCAGCTTCACTTTTACGCCCTGGTATGTACATATGTGACTAAGTATGCTGTAAAGACAATTCTCATATTTAGTTTAAAGGCACACTATGGATAAAAAATGTCAAACATTTGTTAAATAATGTTTAAATAATTGATTCAGAGCATGTTGATATTTAAAACAGCTAAGTAGATTAGTAATGATTGTGCACACATGTGTAACAAATAAATTAATAATAATTTGTAATTATACAAATTGCCAATATAGCAAAAAAAAAAGCAAAGGTGGTTAAGTATAATATGTTGCAAATGACAAATGATATTTTAAATAAAAAATAAAAGGTCTTGGACAAATGAAAATAATGGCATTTTTGAGGCATAATGGGCCTTTAAACTCATTTGGATTATGATTATAAACTATATACATATGTTTGATAAATGTTAACATCAAGACTTTACTTGATTCATATTAAGGAATGCAGCTTCCCACACATAGTTTATTCATTCTGTCATTCAAATTAGATATATTCAGTTAGAATCTCATATATTTCATTTAATGTCTGTGATTATTTTTTTTCTCTCTAGGATGAGGATAGTATATCTCTAACATTCAACCATCTATATGAGAATAATATGAAGTACATGACCTCAAATATATATTTTATCATTAAACAAAAATCTTAAATAACAAATAAGAATAAATATGTTACATCTATACATTCTACTTTACAACAGTTATTTGATTGAGTTAAGTGTTTACTTTCGAGTCCGCTTACTTATGTCAAAATGTTTTGTTACAATGTTTATCAACAAAACATGATGGGGATGTTTGAGTTTCAGTGTGTATATTCAAAACGCTAATCTACATGTCAAACACTACACAAGATGTTGAATCACGTATAAATTAAAGCACAGCTGAGTTCGAAAATGCCCAATTATGCGTTTTTGCATGAAGTTAGATATATAAACGAGAATTTATCGGAAATTTCAGGGTATTTTTTTCGTAGTTGTAATATACAGAAAACTATAAGAAACTAGCAGGCTTTCTTTAAAGGGACTTCACTGATGTGTTTTAAGGTGATTCCGCTTTGTCAGCCATGTTTGTTTTAACTAAAGTCTGTCCAAAGTGAAAGTAGGCGAAACTTCATAATAACAACAAAGCTCACATTGTTATATGATGAGCCATTTGCATGTACACTTATGTTCTATGTTTAAACAAAAATAAAAATGATAACAATAAGAAAATTTAACTTGAATGGGCTAAATTTCTGAAGACCAAAAACATTCTGTTGCAAAGTTTTATGCACATTTCATGAATGGCAAAATCCAGTTCAAAGTCTATTCTAGTGCCAACAAATGCTATTGTTATATGAATTTTGGCCTACTTTCACTTTGGACAGACTTTGTGAAAATAAACATGACTGACAAAGCGGATCGAATCACCAACTTTATATAATTTTTCGAGATTAATGTTTTATTTGATGAAGACTGAGGCTAATAACTTGTGTTTAAAATTTCAGATCATTCGTTCATTTTGTTTTCCAAAATAATTATTCTAAATTTGAAAAAAATGACCCAAAATTTGAAATGCTTAACATCATTTGTTTCACTTAAACAGGGCTAAGGATTTTGGTTGCATATTTCTGCCACCAGATAACCATATGAGGTTAACTCGTTACGTAACTAGATAAGCTCTTAATTAACTAGTTAGTTATGTGGTTAACTAGTTACGCAACTAGTTATTTTTTTCAATTAAAAAAAAGGAAACATGCATGTGAGTGCCTACAACTGAGTGCTTACAACTGCCGTCCTTTTATTATTTTACCAGCTTAATATTAAGAGGTTAACTAGTTACGTACCTAGTGAACCTCTTAACTAACTACTTATAATAATTACTTAACTAACTAGTTAATTAAGAAGTTTACTAGTTACGTAACTAGTTAACTTCTTGATTAATTAGTTAATTAAGAGGTTAACTAGTTACGTAGTTTAACTAGTTACGTAACTACGTAACTAGTTTACCTCTTAACTAACTAGTTAATTAAGAGGTTAACTGGTTACGTAAATATGTAACTAGTTAACCACTAACTTACTAGTTAATTAAAAGGTTAACTAGTTACGTAACTTGTTAACCTTTTAATTAACTATTTAGTTAAGTGATAAACTAGCTGTGTTACTAGATAACCCCTTAATATTAAGCTGGTAAAATAATAAAAAGATGGCATTTGTAGGCTATAACATGCATTTATTTCCCGTTATGATCTTTTATTTATTGAAAAAAATAACTAGTAACGTAACTTGTTAACCACATAACTAACTACGTAACGTAACTAGTTAACCACATAACTAACTACGTTACGTAACTAGATAACCTTTTAATTAACTAGTAAGTAATATGCCACCATAAAGAATAGCACAAAAATACGATTTTCGGTTTATTTCATTATTTTCTTTAGCATATCTTTCTGATTTGTGTGTCCAATTTAATCTATGTAAGTAATTCAAATTTTATGTTTTTGGGGTTTGGACCTCAGTGGAGTTCCTTTTAATACATTTTTAGGGAATAAGAATTTATTATTATATCCCCGAAACGAAGTTTGGGGGTATATAGGAGTCACCCAGTGGTCGGTCGGTCGGCCGGTCAGTTAGTCGGTCGGTCCAGCTGTCCGTTGCATTTTCCTTGTTTGGAGCATAACTTCAAGACTAATAGTTGGAATTCAATATAACTTCATACAATGGTCAAGCACATTGAGAGGAAGTGTAGTGCACAACAAAAACCATAACTCAATCTTGACTAATTACAGAGTTATTGCCCTTTGTTACTTTTCCTTGTCCGGAGCATAAATTTAAAACTACTGGTTTTAATTCAAAACAACTTCATACAATTGTCAAGCACAATAAGGGGAAGTGCAGTGCAGAAGAACCATAACTCTATCTAAAGTAATTACAGAGTTATTGCCTTTTGTTACTTTTACATTGCTTTCTTTTGTCCAGACCATAACTTGAAGACTAATGATTGGAATCCAATATAACTTCATACAATGATCAAGCAAATTGAGAGGAAGTGCAGTGCACAAGAACCATAACTCCATCTTGACTAATTACTGAGTTACTGCACTTTGTTACTTTTCCTTGTCCGGAGCATAAATTGAAAACTACTGGTTGGAATTCAAAAACATTTCATACTATGGTCAAGCACAATAAGGGAAAGCGCAGTGACTAAGAACCATAACTCCATCTTGACTAATTACAGAGTTATTGCCCTTTGTTACTTTTCCATTGCTTTTTTGTCCGGACCATAACTTGAAGACTTATAGTTGGAATTCAATATAATTTCATACAATTGTCAAGCACATTGAGAGGAAGTGCAGTGCATAAGAATCATAACTCCATCTTGACTAATTACATAGCTATTGCCCTTTGTTACTTTTCCTTGTCCGGACCATTTCTTGAAAACTACTGGTTGGAATTCAATACAACTTCATACAGTTGTCAGGCACATTAAAAGGAAGTGCCGCGCAAAAGAACCATATCTCCATTTTGACAAATTGCATAGTTATTGCCCTTAGATACTTTTCCTTGTCCGGAGCATAACTTAAAACATACTGGTGGGAATTCAAAACAACTCCATACAATGATCACGCACAATAAGAGGAAGTGCAATGCACAAGAACTATAACTCTGTCCAGAGTAGTTATAGAATTATTGCTCTTTGTTACTTTTCCATTGATCTTTTCTTGTCAAGAGCATAACTTGAAACTACTGGTTTGAGTTCAATTTTATTTCATACAATGGTCAAGTATATGGAGAGGAAGCTCAGTGCTGCACAGAAACCATAAAGTCTCTTTCTTGACTCATTTAAAAGTTTTTGCCCTTTGTTACATTTTATTGTCCAATGCATAACTTGAAAAATAATGTTTGGAATTCATTGAAACTTTATACAATGGTCCAGGGCAGTGATATGAAGTGCAGTGCACAAGAACCATAAGCCTATTTGGACTATGTTAACAGTAATTGCCCTTTGTTACTTTTTTTTGTCCAGTGCATAACTTGAAAACTAGTAGTTGGAATTCAATACAACTTCATACAATGGTCAAGCGCAATGAGAGGAAGTGCAGTGTACAATAACCATAACTCCATTTTCAGTATTTATACACTTATTGCCCTTTGTTCCTTTTCCTTGTCTTTCTGGACATATTGCAGAGTAATTCAATAAAACATCATCAATGTCAAACCGCATTGAAAGGAAATGCAACATACAAGAAACACGACTATCTTTAATTGCCCACAACCATAACTCTATTTCAATTCTTTTACAATGTATTCTGTTACTAGTAACATCCTCATTTTCGAAGCAGTCTTGTGGGGGTATTAATTACATTTAGAGATAGTTCTAGTTTAAGATATGATATCTATTTTTGTACCTTTTTCCAGATACTGATGACGGTTTATTCTCGCTTAACATTAGGATGATGAACCGATATTGTAAGTGAAACTTTTGCAAGTAACTGTGA